ATCTATTATATTATAATAAATTATATAATCTATTATAATAGATTAAATAAATTATTTTATTTTTAGATAAATTAAATTATTCGAATTGATATTTTTATTATTTAATGTCAAAAACAACTAAAAAAGAAATCAATGTGCAAGTAAAAATTTATTGTATAGTTGCTGTGACAAATGTTATTACTTTGAGTATATTAAAGATTTTAAAAACTTTGAGAATAAATTGTTATTATGTAATGCTGTTATTATGTTATTATATCAATATAATTCAATATTCAATGATGATTATTATAACAATCATTATAACAAATATTTAATAAATTGTGTAAGTATCAGTGTATCTGGATTCTACGTTTAATCTGAATTTTTAATATAGTATTGAAAGTTTATCATTAATATCTTAAAAATTAATAAGTTTTTAATTCCTTGAAAATCAATAAATTTCCAAAAATTTTATATTTGAAGTATTCATTGCTTCCTCTCATTTATTTCAAATATAGTGCTAATTTGAACAGTGAGGAATTATTATATAATATTAATTAATCAATAATAATCATTATTTTAAAAATTTAAGAAATTTCACTAATTTTTTCGCTACTATCTTGCCAAATAATTTAAAATAATTAAATATTTCAAATTTCTATTATTTTAAAATATATATCATTCATTTAATTCACTATTTATAATTCCCGCACAGAATCTTGTCAAATCAATCAGATTTGCTGTTGGTAATTATGGCGAGTGATAGTAAAATAATAATAAAACTTCAAAAGTCCAAAAATTTAAACCACAAAAACATATTGATTATAGTATACATGTCACAAACTAAAAATTTATAATTAGTATCTATATTTATATTTCATCTGTTATATCTAAACTTTATGGTGAACTGTATGAACTCTATGGTAAAACAGAAATTTATATCACATACCATGAAATATCAATGTTAATGATGTCATCCTACATACAGAACATGAAAATTTGCAACATGTATTCAAAAATATAAAATCAAATAAGTTATACATAAAATTCTATTAATAAATTTATTTTATTCATCAGTAAGATAAAGAATAAGATAAAAATGTTATTTATTTCATTATACAATATTTGTATTTAATACCAGAGTGATCAATATATTTTGATATGCATATATCATTTATACTGTAGTTATATTAATCAATTATTTAGTGTTATTCATAGATGATTGTGTAGTAATCATTGAAGATGTACTTGATTCTGTTGAATATGCCATTGTTGAAGTTTGATGAGGTAGATATAATTCAGGACATTTGATAGCACATGCAAAATTCATTATATATAATTGAGATGATGAATTGCAAAAATTGTTACAAAAATATTTTCGAAAAGGTTCGAGAAAAATAAAGCCAAATTTTGGTATACTATGCCCAATTTTTTCTTCAAAAAGATCTTCCTATAATAATAAAAAAAAAATATTAATATTAATATAATACGATAATTATTAATAATAAAGAAAATATATAACAAGATAATTAATAATCATTCTGTTAGTAGAAATTATTTATGCTTCTATAAGCAAGTTTCTGAAACATGAAAGTTGTATCAAGTCTAACCTGTGACCAAACAGATCCGATCAATATGAGGAAAGCAGCAATCCATGCGATAAAACGTAACATAATTAACAAAACGTAACGTAACTTTCTATAACGACAGTTTAACTGCAAAATTACGCGAAAAACATTTTACAGAGAATTTTACTTTCGACTTATATACTATATTCTGTAGACGATACTATAAAATATTCAAGCTTGACCTATTCTTTCATAATTTTTTATAATATTTTCTTGAAATTCACATAGTCGTTCCAGATAACTGACAGATAACATGTATTCTTATCATAATACATTATTCATGCAAAATTAAAGAATAAGTCCTTATTATTATTGTAGTTATAAATAAAAATCAATATTGTTTCAAGAAAATTCATTCAAATAATTGAAATTGATTTATTATTGATATATATGATAAAAAAATATATATCTAACTTCACTTATAAATAAGTATTTTACACATTATATTTCTCATAATTATGATAATATTTTTACGAATCATTGTTTGTTTCCACCTATATGTAAATGAAATATTGCGTGCGTGACCGAAGAATAAGAAAAAGAGAGTTATCAATGAGTTGCATGTTAATGACGAACTAAATTGAAATCCATTATATTTCTGAACCATACTATAAAACTTGAATCAGTCAGTTTGTTAATTATCATATCAAAAGCAGAAATATCATGCTTTTGATATGATATTTTTTATATCATGCTTAATTATATGCAACTTGCTTTATATCTGCACTCACAATGTGACTTGATAATTCTCTATTGTCTGAGTTAATTAAATTGTACGCGAAAAGAAAATATAGAAAATATTAATAAAATATTTTTAAATCATATGCTATATAAATTAAATGATTTAAATTTCTTAGTGCTAATAAGCATTGCTAAAAAATACAATATCCAAAATATTATATATTTTAAAATCATTTTAAGTTATATTTGTAACGAAAATAAATTATATATATAATAAATTCAAACGATAATACATATATAAAATATATACAACGAAAATAAATTTCCAAATTATACATCCTTAATTAATTAAAAAAAAAAAAGAAAAGAAAATTATAGAAATTTTCTTTTTATCATTGAAAGTGATTATTTCTAAAAAATTAATTATTATAGACATAAAAAAAGACAATTATTTTTTTAAATATTATTTTTTATGAATTTTGCATGTTGATCAAAAGAATAATTTTTGCACACCATAAAAAATAAATATTTAAAGATTTAAGATGACATAATATATGACATATGACAAGATATAAAAGGTTAATTATACTATGATTGCGCTTATGACCTTTCACGCAGGATTGTTTAAAGTTACGTCAATGGTGTGCATTGTACGAAAGAGCTGAGTGGTTGGAAAACGATAGAAACCACGTGATCGTGCTACCAATGACGCCGAGGAATACCAACGGGTCGATAACAATGAGACTGGTTCGGGAATATTCTCTTTGTCTCAATCTATCACTTTGATCTTATATATGTTATCGTTTTCTTGATTCAATATTATTATACTCTATCATATCAATTTTAATAATTATATTTGGTAATTTTTTATTTCATTTTATTGTTGAAGCATTTATAGTTTTTCACATTAGAAATTCTACATATTATTTTAAAATCTAAGGAAAAAATATAAGATTTAAAATGTAATAAAATAAGTAAATTTAAAGTGTAAATTTCTCGTTATATGTATTGAAATTCTCAATTTTATTTGTTAATTATATTCCTTAAATAAAAAAATAATACTTATTTTATTTTTCTGAAATTTTAATAACAGAAATCCAAATCCACATAGATAACTCCATGTACCGACATAAGGTTCATATGCTTAAGAATTACAACTTATATAGATTCTATATTCAATATTTTAATTTTGAATAAAATATAAAATTATAACATATTGTAATATATTAATGTTAAAAAATATAAATAATAAAAAATATTAGTTATGATAATATAAGATGTAATATGGAATATCTTAATATTACTTCTTTATCAAGTGTCGATAATAAAACATACCTCTCATATATATTATAATTATTATTATAATATAAATAATTTTTAATTATATTAAAATTTTGCTTTAATCATATTTATAATAAAAATAAGTAAATATGAATTTTCTATTATTTTATTATTGCATATTATATATTTTAACGTATATTTAATTTTATTATTAAATAAATATAGCAAAGATACAGGAAATATATATAGAATAGAATATTATAATTATAGGAATTTAATATAAAAATATTAATATAGAATAAAAATTTCAAAATATTTATATTTAGTTCAATTTTAATTGTATTAATCGAATGTTTAAAATATAAATTTTACAAAATTAAAAAGAATTCAATCACGTATAAATAAAGCAATAAATATTATTTTATATTAAATTAAATTTATATTAAATACAAATTTAAATAAAAAATGAAAAAAAGAATGAAAACAAATTTCTACTGATTGATATCAATTTTTTGCAAATATATGAAAAAAATTAACAATAGAGATGTGCAATAATTTCATAATCCAAAAATTAGCTGTTTTTTACATTAAAATTAGCTAATAAAAAGAAATATTATTTGTAAAAGTAATTAAAATTATTATGAAATTTGTTTTTTAGAAAAGTAATTTAATCATAAATTTTATAATTTTCAAATAATTAAAATCCATATATGTCACGCAATTAGAGTTACACTTATTTTATATTTATAATAAGAATTAATTAATGATTGATTTAAACTTCTGATTTTAGATAAAAAAATAATCAGATGATCAAATAAATAATTATTATATTATAATTTTATCATATATATATAGCAAAATTATTGGTCAATTTGAATTTCAATTTTTATTATCTAGAGAATTTTTTTTTTTTCATTTGATTAAGATTTTAATGTTAAAGTATTTTACTGGAAATTACCTGCAGCCGATAACTCAACATAATAAAATTTCCTTTTAAAATTTCAATAAGAAAAAATTATTTTAATTTTTTAAATAAAGATTTTCATACTTTTTTTTTTATTTTTATTCTAACTTAGAAAGAGATTTCATTTTATTGTTTCAAGTTTATTAACTCTGTCGATAATAAAATATATCTCATTTCCCAAGAAATTTCAGTAAAATTGATAATTTTAAAATCAGAAAAATCACATTCTCAAGATTGATTAGTAATTGCTTCTTGAAGACAAAGAAAGGAAAATTCTTCTAGTAACTAGACAAGGAGCCGGTTAATTAGCCGCATAGTTAGATAACGTTCTTTATCTAGATCACGATGGAACGATCAAGCCCAGTAGCGCAAACGTGCACCAGCCAGCAGCCAGTCGACACTCGATTGGCGGAGCGGATGGCGTGGATGGAG